TATTTCTACCGAAAAAAGACAGACAGATCAGAAGCACGCTTACTTGTACCAAGGTAATTCACCTTCGATTCGATAAACCGAACCCTGCTTTTAGTCGTTCCCGAATCCTGATAAAGCCTACACTCATTTGTGACGTCATGATATGATAACTGATTCGAGTCCGCACATTTTATCCGGTGAAATATATAACACAACATCAGTGTCCCAAGTTTTCAGTGAATTATTGGAATAGAATACCATAGCAAAAAAAATTTCATGCTCATCCTCAATGCTGCAATGATTAGAAACTGGATGCTCCTTGATATAATATATATATACGGTAATTACATTTTTAATTACCGTTAAGCGGTTGTTATGGATCATTTAATTAACTGTGAGTTTGATTAATATTTATCAATATGCAATGAATTGATAGATTTGGCAATTTTTGATACTCCTACCACCAAAGTTTACGCTTGGGGTAGAGCCAGTGATTCCCAAAGTGGGCGATATCGCCCCCCCGGTGGGCGGAAACGGTACATAGGGGGGCGATAAAGTCGAAGGGGGCGATTTCGCAAAACCTGTTTTTGGTCGACGCATCGTGCACTTGATTACTGTACTCTGCGCGCTTTCGTAGGTTTGAATCACGTGGGAGATGTCACACGCGAAAGGATTGCTGAACTCGTCTTCGCAGTAAGGTACGGCAGTTTGCGTATCCCAGTGGTCGTGAAATCTATAATAATCTAGCCCAGACCGCTTCACTGAATAAACCTTTCCCCGACCTTTGACCCCGGAAGATTCTTCCCTTACTTTAATACTTTACCATTCTAAAATTAATTTTTTTCGGTGCTTATTTCAAGAGTGGTTTCGCGAGTTGTTGCCTGTAAAATGAAGTCTTTGTTTCAAACTATCATTCTAATTCATACCATTCAACAATCTGTTTTTTAAATGTACCGGTGAAGAATTTTAGCCTGGTCTATCACAGCTATTTTTGATTACTGTAATTAAACTGAAACTACTAGGTTGATCATTGACTTATTCAACTAAAAACTGACGAATATAATTCAGAATCGCGAAAATGAGGTAATGTTCACGACCACGCCTGAAAGTCTGTCTGATTGAGGAATGTGTCTGAGCGGATGCGAAAGGGGGCATGGGGGCAGTGGTGGAATTCAGCCGGTTCGCACCGGTTCTATAGAACCGTCTCACAGAATTTTATGAGATCAGCGAGCCCGGTACTGGTTACTGTCAATGTTCTGTTTGTATCAAAACCGGCTGAAAGATATGACTTTTGTGAAGGAACCGGCTGACAAAAAAAAATGAATCCCACCACTGCATGGGGGCATCTTGCTGATTGGCCAATGTCACGAAGAAAACAAGGAAGTCTATTCCAGGGAAAGCATCCAAACGGCGGTTTTAACGATGAATTAATTTTATTTATTATCTACGCTCGAGAAGTAAATTACATTTTTTACGTAACAGAATTTATCGTGAGACACGTTGAGATTAAATTTTATTTTATCCTAAAAATTATATTGAACAGCTCCTCGTTTAAGGAGCCTACAATTTAATTATAATTAGACAAATGGAAACACGCAGAAAAGTTGATGCTGAGTGCAGGGGTTCAATAGCGCAGTAAATATTCGAATATATTGCAATGCAATGAGAAAATAAAATTCATATTCAATTCGAGAGATTCATCACTGCTTAATTTTTGTAAGAATGTATCTTTTTAAAGAAAATCTTTATCAAAATTTCAGAAACTATGCGAAAATATTCACCTCGATGTTTGGAAGTACATATTTGTGCGAACAATTATTTTCGAAAATGAACATTACAAAGAACAAGAGAGCAACGCTCAAATATATGGACACGTGGACTAGAGCGAAGCAGGGTTTACCTTTGACGTTACCGGCACCGTACCCTCAAAAAGTTCCGGGTTTTCAGTCGCAAGAATTTTCACAGTCAGCCGTCACGCTTGGCGGATTAAAAATCGTGCTCCCATAATTAAAAATTAATACACCGCAATTTTGGATGAAATATTAGATCGCATAAGATTTATAGAAAATTCAGAAATAAATGAAAGTAATAGCCTGGCAAAAAAATCAATCTTGAACCACTGAAAATTCCAAAGCAATTGGTCCAGTATTCGAAGAGAAAAGCAATTTTTTAATGATAATGACGAAAGAAAATAACAATAACAACAAAATTTTGAAACGATCGTTATGGCCACTAAACCTGTCCAACAAGCAAAGAACTAAGATTAGTGATGCCCATTTAGAAAATCTTCCACGACTGAGTTGAGTTCACGAATTGTCGCAGTTTTCGCACGATGTTCCGTTTTTAATTTTCATAAAATATATACGATCCTCAAAAGAATAGCAACTCTAAATTTTGTCCCGCGAGCGACGTAAAATTTGCGGACCCCTGGGCCAACCGAGTCCACGAATCGAAAACAAATGGCTGATTGATTCTATGAACTGGTGATCGGACTGCAGGACGTGGTAGGATGAGGAATCGGGGATGAATTTTACCGAAGACCGTTATATATCATGTATTTTGGTGAAGGTCATCAGGCTGTAGGGATCAATGAGATGTAGAGGGATCAATAAGATGTACGAAAATCGTTATTATCAGCTTTGGAAAATTAATTTTGTTTCCATTATTTTAATGTGAAATGGGGTAAATTTAGGGAGATAAATGCTATGAGGCAAGAGTACACGACGGTCTTTGAGAAGGTAGAACCCTGGATTATTTCATTTACGACCTCTGATATGGTGAAAGCAACAAAATCGCCTTTCCATCAGTAAACGGGGTAATTTTAGATATAATAAAAAACTCGCTTAAGACCACCAAGCTCATCCATCTCATTAAGAAACACTATTATAAACTATGAGTTGTCTCCTTATTTGGTCTGTAATATATTCGTTTCAGACTTTCAAAATTTTTTTTTGCAGTGCCGGGGGGCGATGAAGTTGTATAAACTACTATAGGGGGGCGATGGTACAAAAAGTTTGGAAACCACTGAAGTAGACCATGAATTATTGCGAGAATAAAAATGGTTTCTGGATTATTGTAATTGTCTCATCTTTGTCAAAAGTTCATTTAATAAATCATATCTGCTTTAATTTGCATATGTCTATTTCTGTACTATTGTATTATTATTTTTTTTGTAGTGTTAAAAAGATGTACTGATTGATTATCATTTAAAGGCTCAATCAGAATCAAGTATCTATTTCGGAAAGGCACTCCTCTTTTTCTACCATTAAATTGAATAAAAAAAAAACTGTTATAAATATGTCATTTTTAGAATAAATTCCCAACCCTGATCAGACTAATCCAAAATTTATCCTCGTTCTAATCAGATTACGTTTTGTAAATAGTGTAAATAGTTTTCTATAAACTAAGAGTTCAATCAAAAAAGAACCTGTGTCAATTTATGTATTCATTCATGTGTTGTATCGGGTGGTAACTGACTCAGATGACCGTAAATGGTCGTATCGTTACCTCCCAGTCATACCGAAAACTTTTATTTCACCTATTTTGTTATCATTATATTTTATATTATGTGTTTTCTGGTTGACGATATAATAAATTCCGTCTCTCTCTTCCTCTGGTAGAAGGTAAGAAAAGAGAAAATCATGATAAAAATTTGCCACCACAATGTAGCAAAAATAACTACACCAAAGATAGCTAGACCCAGGTACTGTCGGCAAAAACAGCCCCTTTAATGGATTTCGTATTGAACATTACGTGGTGATTGTTGAAAGAAACGCTGGAATTAAAAAAGGTGTCGGCAAAAACTGCCCCTTTTATATATTTTATATTAAAAATATTAAAAAAGTTTCGGACTGTTTGCTTTCGGGATTCATGAAGAAAATAAGCTCAAAATATTTGGGCTACAGCAATCATTTTAAAATGCGATGTGGAGTTACTGGATTGGACATCTATATATAATTTGTGGTATTTTGTTGGTTCGCGATACTTGGTGGCGATAACCTTTGCGTTAAGTGAAACTGCCGGCACGACATTTGCAGCTTTTTCAAAACACGGCGAGCGTATTATACGCTTTATGAATAACATTTAATCCTACGGGATCTTGGGTCACGGTTGGGATTAATATTTTACTCCATGACAACGACAAGTTATAAAAAGAAGGTCTTTGTCACTATGAATTTCGTATTTGTTCCCATGGCGGCTTGTGGTTGAAAATTCATGTTCGCTACTATAGACTGACTTTCCAGATAAATATCCAACGTCTAACAATAAGTTCGTAACTATAGCTAAAAAGTTATTTGTCGTTTTTACATCTAAGAACAGGAAGATAACTTAGTTTTGACCGCTCATAGCAGTGGGAAGTTCATCGAATGTTCTTCTAACAAATGTTCGTAGGTTCAGGATAAGATCAATATATCACCAAAATATCACAGAATTAATATCACAAAAAATAACATTACGCGGAAATGACATAAAATTCACCATAGTTTTCAAGTATAAATACCACCCTTTAATTGTCAGTGCTTATCACCTAACAAGCATGGACTACGACAAAAATGGGCATATGTATCAAAATTAGGAGTTACAAAGAATTTTAATAATTTCTTATATAAAAAAGAAAACGACATTTTCTCGTTCGTTGCCATGCCCTCGTTGCCATTAATTTTTGATGAGTTTGGCATTGTTCAACTTAATTAAGTGAGGTCTACGTGGCATAAAGTGGTTCCATCTCGAAGTTATATAAATGTTTTGCACTATTTGCAACCTATACACTGTTATTCGGATCGATGTAGGACAATATGTTGGTTATCGTGGAGATGCTAAGTGTTCCAAAACGCAGAATCTGTGATTGGTTTGAAGAAACAAAGTTTGAGTATAGTTTCAGTACACCTGATAGGGTTATTTGAATCGAATATTTTTGAAATTCTGTTGTGTTTGAAATTGGTTGATATGTGTATATATAAAATATAGAACAGTGAGTAGTCATAAAAAATTTACATTCGAGCTTTTACTTTCATGCCAGCATAAAAATCAAATAGTACATTGTGAAATAGTAACAAATCGGATAAATAAACGAAAGAAGAAAAATGTCGTCAACAGAGAAACGAACTGAATTTGAGGAAGGATTTGACAAAATTTTTCAGACGTTCAAAAAGTAAGTTATGAAATAATAGTACTTGCATTTAGGCTATAACTTGTATATATACTTTTATTTATGAGTTTCATCCCATTGACTGGAAAATATTTTTCCAAAAGATAAATAAGTTGACTCGTTTTATGATCAACCTTATTTGCAATTTCGTTTTTTAAACCATATTTTCACATTTTATATTTCTTTAAAAAATATAAAGTTATTCATATCTATCTACAAATTTGAGTCTTTCCAAAATGCATTATTTCTGGATTGTGTGGAATCGGTACCTTTAGGTTAGTCGAACCTTATAAAATAATAATATCAATAATACCACTCAAATTCGAATAATAACGCTTTCTATCAATAACAGTAGCTTAAATAAAGAAGTAAAATAATCCCATATGGTAATTGTTCCGTTTATGGCTCAACAACTTTTAAAAGGCCGATTGCTAATTTATTTCAACAAAATAGGTTTCTATATATTGTGTTGGTCGTAATTTTTACCGAAAGGATGTGGCCAGTGCGGTAATTTGAAAGCCCTCAACGAAATGCCCTAAGAATCTTCTAAATTATTCATACGATGAATTGTTTCTTTTGTTAATGTTGCTTTCAAAAAATATATCCGCTATTGCTGACAGATAACAGATAGCTGATGATAAAGAGTACTTAGGTTGAGGGGGGTCAAAGGATCCATAAACACATTTTTCATGAATAATTCTGAGAAGGTATCGATGGATATGTTGAAAATGATATTTTATGTCACAATCAGATGAATAGGTTGTGAAACGTCTATGAGAAAGCTGACAATGAAATATGATGCAAATATAATATGCTATGTCACAATAATATATTACATAAGGACATTTACATCCCGCCGGTTGTTGCACAATTATAGAATAATTACTTTTTATAATGAACTGTTTAATTTTACAAAATTTTTTAATCGCCAATTTATTTGTCAACATTAATATTGTAAAGATTCGCGTTGCGCAAGCAGACTCGGTTATATTGATTTTCAACAATTCTGTGATCACCAGGCATGTATGAACATGGATGAACGTTGCACCTGATGCTGTTAAATTCGATGAGTTTAAAATCCGTTCACGTTGACAAAATTGTATTTCTCATATGACAATGCATAATTAATATGACATCTTTTGTTACGATAGGACGGCAGATTATCGATAATCACGACGGCCAAATAGACGAATATGGTGTTCATGTAACTTATAGAATCGCAAAACATTAACCGATTCACAAAATTTCTACTGAAACATTTTATTACATATATTGTGTTGGCAAAAACAAGATATCCTCGGTCTTCTTCATTTTGCAGTTGTACTCGAAATTCATAACGCGTTTTTCTTTTGGATTCAGATATGCAAGGGGCGGGGTTGAAGGTGGAAGTGATGACAAACTCGAGAAAGACGAAATGAGGAGATTGGTTAAGGAAGAGTTCAAAGGATATTTGGGGGTAAGACAAAGAGGTCGTGAAATTAAGTGACAAAGATCATACATGTATGATCTGCCAGCAAAGATTTTCTGCCAGCCACGTGCGATTGGTTATTGTTTTTTCCGACATTTCTAGAGAGTACATATAATATAGGTTGTTCATAAAGGGGTCATCGAAGTGGAAATTGTTTCAAAACCAGAAAAGTCGCATACAAAATCGAATTAGCATCATAATACATTTAGGAGTCATGTGTGAGGCGTGACCCAAGCAACGCTAATGAGAACGTTGTTGGCATAGGTGTACGTTGCGATGGGAGATTACAAAACAAGTCGAACAGTGGTCGATAGTTAGCATTCTGAACGCACTACTTTCAAATAGTTGAGTGCAACCAGTTAGTTTTTACTGAATGATCGTGCAGTATTAGCTACTTGGTTAAATAACTTTAAATAAATAAAAATAACTTTAAATTTCAGATTTGTGACGACTTATCAGTTGATAAAATCTTCGAGGAGTTCGATGAAGATAAATCAGATTCTGTCGATTTCGTTGAGTTTTTGAAAATCGTGGCTAAACTTGCTCAAAATGCTAAAATTGTAGATCGTCTCGCCGAAGACAACAGGAAAAAATGATTCACCAATAACGAAATCACCTGCCATAAACATTATATGATATGAGGGATAAGCGGGTCTCGGTAATTACTGAAAAGAGCAACAGAAAACTGTACGGGTGAGAAGAGGTGAAGAAAACTTCGGAAGATTTTGCTTAGACCAGGGGTGTGTAACCTTTAATACAAGGGGGTCTGATACAAATACCTGGGTGAAACCGAGGGCCGCACCCTTATTTAACATAGGCTTTCTAGTAGTTGCAAGCACGAAAATTTTGATTATTGATCTTATGACATGCCCTGTTTGCTTCGCACAGGCTAACCGTTATGGTATTGTGACGTCATAGGGATATATACCAGATTAAACTAAAATAAGAATTCGTTTCGCGGGCCGCATACCATTGAAAATTGGCACTTTCCTGCGAGCCGCAGGTTGCACACCCCTGGCTCAGACCACTGATACCAAAATATGCTCCATTGTAGCCAATCGAAAGAAGCCTAATTTGTATCAACTTATGCTACGTGTTGATAGGAAGTTTTTCAATACCAGAGGCGAATCTACCAAACTTGCGCGTCTAATTCATTCACCTCTTTTTTCCCGCACTTTGTCTGTTCACTCTTTTCAGTAATTACCGACTTTGCTTCGAATATTTAATGGAATTTCTAGTCGTTGTATTGTAGTAGTATTGTGATTGTAGCAAATGTATAAGTTCTCCAATAAAGCAGTGATGTGATAATAAAATTGCACCAAATGTATTGTATTTTCACGGCGTTGTCCTGAAAAGTAGCTCAGAACCTAAGATGAACCAAAGACTTCAATTTCAAAAACGCATATTCGCGAAGACATTGATTCTTTCACTCGTAGAGACATGGCTACAAAAGATTTTGACGCGCATACTAAGAATTAACTGGTTAAATATCAAATTGATAGCGGCTACACGGTTTAAAATGTCTTTATTCACTACAAACTTAGCCGATGTTATTATTCTTCAAGCATATATACAATATGTAATACAATACATATATACAATAAGTAGAATACCGTAAATGAAATGACACAGCGTGATTCATACGATGGCTCTTTTATTGCAGTCTTTGGGAAAAACTTAAAACGTATACGACGTCATATAGTAATGACAATAGTAATAAGAATAAGAGAGAAAGTATCACGAAACAACAATAATAAGATACAAACGAAAAAGACAATAATAACGAAAAAAAGCATAAAATGGGTCAGATTCATTTATTATAGGAAAGTATGATTTCGGGAAATTTATTGTGCGCAATGCAAGAAACATGCTTAAGCCCTGAAGGGTGCGTTTAATTTTGAAACAACTTACGATTAAGAGTTAACTTTTGGGTGGACATATTTTACCATTGTTTCTAAATTTATGAAAATTAATAAAATCATACTTACAAAACCGTGAGATGTTTATCTCAAGGTTAAAATTGAACAAACATGATCGCATGGTAGTTTCAAAAATCAACTCGAAAATATATATATAAGCAAAAGTATAGGCTACAAGAAAGGAATCATGAAATTAAAAAAATGGAATTCTAGCCTAGCAGTACGAATAGAAAGCATAATAATTAGGATAAGTTTGAGAAACAAAGTAAAGGAACAGTAGGATACGGGCGATGCTTGTGAACAACAAAACCATAGCGTGGAAACCAGTTCCAACCGCCATAAACCGGAATATCAGATGAATAAATTATACGTTGTCCACCTCGGTAAAAAAAATTCGCATTCGCAAAGTACATTTTAGATTGATATAAAGCGACATAAATTATCAAATAACAGATAAATCCTGTGCCCACCATAAAGATTCCTGGTTCAACTCAGGTAATATAATCATATGTACGTCCGATAATTATTTTTATACCAGTCGTAATCCTTTTATAGCTGGTAATATATTTATGTAATAAGATTTAGAAATACAACAATAAAATATCAGAATTATTCCGAGTAGTACAAATTAATTTAAGCGGTGCAAAATTCACGATCATGTTTATTTATTTTTTCAAAAAATAAAAATCGAAAAAAAAATGATGAGATAAGAAACTATGCGCATGAAATCACATAGGAAAATACGGTTAAGCGAAATTAAACAACGCACGATAAATTTTCCTATTCCATAGGAAGATATTCGAACAGGCAACCATGAATAGGGAAGAAACCTTCAATTCTAACGATGTTTAACAACTATTTATTTCTCTTGAGAGGGTAAATTAATCATGCAATATAAATTGATGCTGAGTATAAAATACTGTCTGGAGAAATTACGGTGCAAACAAGCAGAATGAGGAAAGCAGGCAGATTGTAAGCCAGCTAGAGTACTTATCATTTACAATATTCTCGCCACAAGGTGACGATAATGAGCTGACAATAGATGTTGGTTAAAGCCCGATTTTACCAAAGGGAGAATGAATCTATTTTCAGTCAGTAACGCGGTATAACCTAATCGTATTTAACTATCTTAGTATTTCAGTTTTGTTTTAGGTTACAGGACTTACATATCGACAATTGGTCATGGATAATCACATAGGTGATCGACTAGATATTTCAAGACAATTATGGGTAGTATAGCTGCATCAGACAGACAGACACACACAGTGACAGAAAAACTTATTGCATTTGCAAGTAACAACAAAAAAGGCTTTAAATTATCTAGACTATGTCTGGTGTTGATGGTAATCGCAATTAGAAACGAATTAGGTCTATAATGATTATCGCGTGAGCAAGCATCTCAAAGATGACTTTTAGGTAGTTGACTGGCAACGTGGAACATTATGAAGATAGTTCGTGCCATAGATTTACCAAAATACCTTGAATTTCGGGAAATGAAATCAAAGCGATTATTAGCAGCATAAAAGGACCAGTCGAAGTGGATCTTATGAAATATGGAAATCTTGCTTGACTATACCATGAACGGACTGACAAAAAGTCGCACGCTGGCTTCAGCGCTAATTTCCAATAACAAATTACACTAGATCTGTGGTTTGGGGTACTTTTATACATCACTACATTGAAATGATATTTTCGTTTAATACCCTTTCGTTGTGATATGTTGTATTCATTATTTTTGAAGTTTCAAACTTACTGGGTAATTTTTGATATTGTGAAGTTATGATTGACGTGAAATAAATTTGTATATTTATAGTTTGTCCATACACGGTATTATATCGCATTTGTATTTGAAACCTTTCAGTTTAAAGGGATGACGACGATAATCGCCAAGCGCGAGTAATCAACGAAATTGGAATAAATATTTCACTAAATATAGCAGTAACAAAATAATCAGGAACATTAATTTCGCGACATATACAGTTTGCATGCTCAAAAGTATTGTCCAATGGTGTGCACATGGATGAAGCATATCTCTACCAAATTTTGATGATATTACTCTATGGGAACACCACTGTAGTCTAAACGCTAGAAGACGAGCTTCCGGCAGACGACAAACCTTCGATGCGGTATTCCCCGTTTACAAATGACGTTGTAGGCGAACCATTATCCATGGCTTCATAGTTTGTATTGTGTGTTTGGCCACTAGGTCGGCGTTGAAACTGATTCGATGAATTTTGCTGTTGATTTTGAGCCCTGTGGTTTCTCGTTACCGGAACGTCGTATTGTGCTGCATCTCCCTGGCAAAACGAACCTTGTCGCCTGGCACTGCAATCAGAAGATTTACTGTGAAGGCTACTAGACGAATTGGATCTTTCTTTTAATTCGTTTACGGCCCGTAAGAGACGGGCGTTCGATTCTTCCAGAGAATTAATACGCTTCCTTTGCGTTGATACGATAATGTCTTTTTCGTCAATAATTCCCTGCAGTTCCTCACGCTCTCGTTTTTGCTCTTCTTCAACTTTTGAAATTCTACAGAAAAAGATTAGCAATGTTATGCAAAAAATTCAAACAATAGAAGGCCAGCCAGAGCGCGGCAAGTCATATGAAAATGAAATGTGAATTGTGAACTGAAAATGAATTGTACTACAGATAAAACGGCGCATTTGTGACGGAAAAAACGTTGAAAAATGCGGTTTTACATTTGACAAAAATGGCAGTCTGCTGCTGATATTCCGAAAACAAAAATTTAGAGGGACGATCCAGTTTGTGGCCAATAATTCACATCAGAAACATCACTGTATTGGTCATTTTCAATTACATGCACGGACAAATTTTGACATAATGATGGATGCTGCAGCTATAAAATTAAAAAAAATTCATTTAGTTTGTTATAGGTGCGCGGGATATCAGTATCGTTAATTTTCGACTTTCTATCTGTACTAACCTCTGTATCAATTCCGAAGTTTTTTCGTCCTTTTCCATCATCTGACGTTGCAATTTCTCTTCCATAATCCGTAATTTTTCATGCAATCTCGCTTCTCTGCGATCGCTTGCTTTCACTTGATCCATGAGAGAATCTTCTCTTTGTTTCATAGATCGATTCGCGTCGTCAGTTTCTGTCAAAAGTTTTCGAAGAGCATCGTTGTCTCCTTTCAGACGACTCAACAAGTCATCATGCTGAAAATATAAAATAATGAAATCACAATTTGGATGACAACATAATATTGCACATCTCAATTACAACATTATTGGAACAAAGCCCAACATAAACGAATCTAAAAATGAGTAGGCTATATCGAACAAGAATTATTCCAGCCACAATAGTCTTTCTTAGCCAGGGAAGTTTCCAGTCTCTAAAATGGCTTCGTGTACAGAGATCCTTATTTGTGAAAATGATTTGAAATGATTATCCAGCTTTTACACTGAAAATTGACCAAATTCGAAACTTCTCAAAGAACTATAATTGCAATGAATGTGGCTAAACAAAACAATGGATTTATGTATCGCAATTATATACTTAGGAATTACGATCAGAAAAATATTCAGCTTACATCTTTGGTGGAAGATCTTGAAGACTTAGATTGGGAATATCCTGCAGTTTGTGGAACGTTGGGTCCTTGTATACCGGCGTCTTTTGTCACGGAAGCTACACTGCTGAGAATCCACTGAGCAGTTCTTTCTTCTGGTGACAATGGTCCTTCTGGTGTAGTGGGAGGAAATGCGGCAGATTCGGGAGGTGGATGATTCGGAAACTGTCCAGTAGTACGTTGATTGCTACTTCGCCTACCACCCTGTCGTAGAAATAGTTGTTTAAAGTGCTATCATTTTAGCTAACTTATATCAATCAATCAAGAAAAAACAAAAACTTACATAATATCTTTCACCCGCCGAGTTGGTTTTTATCAATGGTTGATGGAATGATTGTTGTCCGCTAGATGACGTTGTGCCACCCGGTCGAGTTTTTCGTGCCATTCGAACGCGAGTCGCACTGGCAGCGTTAAGAGCTATGGCAGTAACCGGCTTCCCAGAGACCAACAAGTCGTCCACTTCGCGTACAGAAGGCAATTCCTCGTTAAGTCCCGGAATTGGTTCTTGATCTAATTGAGTCATATGATTCAAATTCGGAAACTTGTGTGAAACTTTCGCTCGACCGTTTTTGGTGACAACGGCAGATGAAGAACGGGTGACTCGGCTGGATGACCTTGAGGGATCATTCGAGGTCGATGACGATTTTCTGGGATTGGAACCTTCAGCAGCGGCCGTGGAGGTTAAAATCGCTTTCGAAGGCGATGTGTTTTGTTTCTGAAGGCCTGTGCGATGTCTGGCACTCAAAACGGGTATACACGTGGAAGTGGCTGTCACTTTACCGTCTGTATTCTCGTTTTTTGAACCTGCAAAGAGAATTTTATAAGTTTCATAAAAAAATTGTCGGATAACTGTCGGACAGGTGGGGATTCTTCATTAATGCAAGATAATTAAAACCCCAATGGAATTGCCCAGTAACAGTCGGGTGGACGACGACATGGCATCGAAGTTTGGTGTAGCAACCTTTCCCTATATCTTTACAATTGGTATCCTTAACCTGGCAGGTTATGGTATTTAGTGGGGAAGAGTCAAATCCCTAGGCCGAAAGGATTTCGTGCAAAATTATATAATTACCTTGACTTTTTCCTTGATGACTGTTGCCGTGGCGAGAAGGTCGATGTTTTGGTTTCGGCAAACGACTCATGTCGTTTTGGTCGATGTGATTGCTTACACTTCCGCTGTTCGCTGTACTTCCGGTTGTAGTTGATGACGGTCTTGAAGACAATGTATCGTTGCTATGGAAACTGTCATTCGCACTTTCCGGTTCGCTGCTTCCGTGATCAAGATTGTCAGCATCTCGAATCGCTTTCAAGGGGTTTGCAGAGTCAGATTTGCTGATTAGATATTGTTCTTGTTGCGTTTTTGTTCCAGAGGATTGTGGCAACGATACAGAGGCGTATGGAACTTTGTTTAAATAGCTCACCGTCTCTGAGGCAAAAACAGTCTCGATCTGGGAGTTTGATCGCAAAGAGGCGACCGGTATCGGGTTCGGACTACGACGTCTCGTTTCCGAACTCGTGGATGTTTGAAGTACTTGCAGGGGATTTGCGAATGACAGTGGTTGAGTTTGTTGGCCTGAAAATACAAGATGACGAATTATAGATCGCAAATTATAGCATGAGTTTCTATAAATTGAATCTATACTGCTGTCAAAATAATATTGGCGGTATTAAAGAAACTTCAGTGAGTATTTCATTCTATCAATATTCCCAAAGAAAGGCGACTGTAAATTTGATAGATTAATGGAGCAAGGCCGCTTAAAGTAAGGCAATCTGTTAAGAATTATTCAAGTTGTTGAGGATGATAGCCATAAATTGGGACAGTTTAAGTTGCAATGAAGATATCTCGCAACACTAGTATGGCATAATATAAAATTGTTGAAATGTTATAATAATTGCGAAAAATTTATTTTTATCAAAAATTAACTGGGGGCCCATGGGGGGACGAAGTTTTTGCTAAAATGCAAAGATGTTATGATGAATAGCAAATTCAAATTATTTTGTATTTTAATATTTCAGTTCATCTGGGATAAAAAATTTCACTCACCCTTATAAGTTGAAACGTTGCGTTTATTTAAGTTGACAGTGGTGGTTGTGTGCGTAGTCGTGTTCGAAAAGTTGTGAGAAGTCTGTGTAGTGTGTACGCCGTTAACGTAACCCGAATTCATTCCTTTTTGAGGGAAAGAAAACTTATCAGATGGCTTTTGATCCAACGAAGAGAGAGCTGCCGGAGAACTAAGCCCTCTCTGTAAGTAGGCAGGGTTACTAAACGACAGTGGCGGGTTGGTGGAACGAGATGCGCAACGCGGGGCTTGGTAGGATGCTTGCTGCTGTGCGTTTGCATTGATTGTCTGAAACTCAACGTTTTCCATCGAGGCTAACGATGGACGATGACTGTTGTTACTATTGTTGAAGCTTCCATTAGCCTGTGAAAAATTGTTAAATACATTAATTCAAACGATGTTGTTTGAAACAGTATCATTGAAATGTAAATATTGTCGAGTGTCGTCTTGAACGACAGCAATAATCGTGAACAACCAGTAGAATGGATACATAGTCATAATCAGTTAGACTTTTTAGAGTCTATCCAGTTCACCATTTCGAAGGAACGATTTACGGCTTACAATTAAAGAAAAAAAAAATTTCGAATACATAATAAAAGTAATAAACTCTTTCCAAACTGTATGTCAGATTACTGCATTCCTTGGAAGCATAAATGATTGTGTCACCCATCCCAGTATAATGCAAATATCTAGCAGAAAAGTTAATCTTAATTACTAATCAAATCCATAGTAAACTATATTTTGTATATCGATATCACAAATAAAGACACTCACCGGAATGGATGTTTGACTACCATTGTCTGATAGATTAGTAGTTGTAGTAAGAGTAGGATATCCATCCATATCTAACAAAGATGAAACATCTTGTGGTATTATGTTACGTCGTCCAGTATTGGGCGTACTAGTCGAATCAGGAGGCATCAATATGTTATCATTAGCACTGAAATAGATTTGTAAGTAATATTTAAATAACTGAGACTAACAGTAAATGATAGACAATGGCGGAGGTTCATTCTTCTTGAAAACAAATAAGGTATGAATCTACTAAAGCGATAAAGTCAAAATAGACATCTCATTATAAAAACTAATATGACAAAAAATGGGCAATTTTTAATCAAAACCGAAATTTTTATTATTTCGAAGTACAAGAAATTTTTTGCATTTGCTTTATGATATACAAATATAACAGTCCTTACTTTGATAGCTGAGCATCTTCGGATATTTTATCTAAGGCAGATAATTGCGATGTACTTTTTGATACAACACGATGCTGATAAATATGAGATCCATTCTGTGGTGAAGGTGGTGGATGATTGATGAGATCTGTTATTTTTCCTAAAACTTTTGGTAAATTTCCAAGATCATTGACAATGTTCTAAAAAAATTTAGAGAATTATGATAAGATGAATTATATATAAATGGTCCCAAAATTATAACTCAAGAAAAAATCAACCAAATGACATTTTTATTGAAAAAAAAAAAATGAGACGAATGTAACAATACCTAGTTTTAACCTATGCTCATTCAAAATCGAGTAAGTCCTGTTCATAAACCATACAATTCTTCTCACCTGATCCATTTCAGGCAAGGTCTCTGTGAAAAAAGCGTGAAGTTTCGCCAATTCTCTTCCAAGGTCAATAAAACCCTCAAATCCATTCAAAGACGAAGTTTTACTTGCGTCTGTGACGTCGTCCAAAAACCCGCCCATTTGATCCCATTGTTCTCGTACGAATCCATTCATGAACTTCATGTATTCTTCTTTGTCGCCAAATCTAGAAAATAAGGAATGTTTTTGAATGTTCCCATCATCAGAATAAAACACAATACACTCAATAGGGAACATGTTGCTATTCAGAGATCTACAATCCTTGAATTTTTTATTAAAAAAAAACAAAAAAAAAACATGTTTTTCAAATTATTCACACCTATATAAGAAATGCAAGATTGCTACAAGATCAATATATTTATGATTCCAATACATAAAACGCTTGAAATAAATTTCTGGCTAACAAAATTTTGAATTTCAAACCGATTTTTAGATTTATCAAATAATAAGATGCTTTCGTCCTACATGAACACACAAAAAAAAATTACCGTGAACGATTCGCTAGGTTTTGAATGACTTTTGCCACTAGTGTCAATGTTCTTGCCGCATTAGGACGAGGCAGCTCATTAGCAAGAGCAAAAAGTGAAGGATTTAATATGGCTGGACACAGCAGTCGTAAGAACAATGATGCTGTTATTAATTTCGATGCGATACGTGGTCGATTCATTGTTTCACATTTTGCTCTCCATGTACTGAATACTTCTCTCAATTCGTTGGGAAATATTCTGTTAAAAAATAGTAAACATAACAGTATAGATAATGTTAGTTTTCACAATTTAGTTGTTATTGCAGCATAAGCTAAACGAGATGATATCCTTTTTACGCAATGTAATTTACCAAGCCATAAAAGCACTCTGCTAAGTATTCCCATGCCAGACATGGACTGGTGATTAGAAAGAGAGTCTGCAGTTTGCCATATGATTAAGCCATCTCATTGTTATTCATCTCCCTGGGATTAATATGAAAATTCTATTTCTAGTGTGAGAGAAAACAAAATAAAGACTCACTTGATTGAATTCATAATCTTGCACATAGCGATCTCACAACACATCTGTAAATTTTTCTGATTGTGTTCAAGTATAGCATTAGCAGGCAATCGATTTCCATCTACTTCACAGTCTTCATCACTTTCATACAAGGCAGTTACAAAATCACCTAAAATGTGGAAAAGTATGAACTAGACTGCCAAGTGTCAATGCATAACAAATTCACAAAGACTGAACGCATGACATACAGTGATGACTGATGACATTTCCATACATCATGCTGTTATCGGCTTTGTTGGATAATATTGTGTTAGTAGGACTATAGAAAGGAAGAGGGCCAAATGAGTTACATAATATCAATCGTGCAAGCACTCAGATAATTTAGTGGTTTTAGTTGATACTGGTTTCAGTCCATGTTTAGGACGATTTTTTGTTCTCAAATTAATACTTGACCGAAACGCTCGGGCTATTGTGACTCTCAATCACCATGAATCTGATTATCACATTGTCTACCATCTACTAATTCCGAGCATCTGGACTGATTAAGTATTTAGAAATTGTATGTCCTGAAATGATAACATGTGCTTTGCATATGACTATATAGAGCATGGAAACTAGGAAAAATATATATTAGAATTATCATTCAACTTTTCTAAGCAACATACCTAAAGCTTCATGCAAGTATCCCATTCCCACTAGACGAAGAAAATGTTCAACAGACTTAGTGGCGATTGTATTTTCACGAAATATTAAACTTTCTTCTTCAATATTTCTCACATCGTTCATAACTACTTCTGTCATGTATTCCTGTTAATTATAAAAAAGTTTCAATATAAAACAGAATATTTACAGAATATTTTGTGGTTTTTAATATCATACTCTGGCTTGGGAATACTTGCAGCAAACTAAGCTTTATCATTCCGTTGAGCAAATATTCAAAAAAAAAAAAAAATCAGAAAAGTCATACAATCTGTTTGTAAGTAACTAATCATCATGTTTTATGTGTGTATATTGCAGGCCCAATCATCCTTTTCCAGACTTTTCACATCATGAATATTTTAACTAGGGAGAAAGTAGCGAATTACACAATTTCATTAAACATATTTTTGGTAATTGTTTCAATATTGCCCATAAGTTATATTGTGCATCATCGAAATGCATAATCTTGTATTTGTGAGTGTTTGGAAAACAATTTTCATCCTTTATAATGAACACCGTTTTTCAGTAAAGTAGTTAGATCAAAGGCTTTTCTCTTATCTAAAAGATATCCACAAGACTAGGTTGAACAAACAATATATTTACCTTTATGGTTCCAGTTGCATGCATTATGCTGACTAAACTCTTCGACAATTCATCTTTCTTTGAAACAGATAGATTCCCACGCATGGTTTTACATAGCGTCATATAATCTTTAGAAATAAGTTCTGCAAACTCTTTATATTGCTCCATAGGTAGCACAGATACCGATTGGAATCTTGCTTTTATGCGAATTGCCATTGTTTCACCTGATTTGTTTTTATTGTTTCCGCTTGGCGTTGATAATGTATACCTATAAAGGTGAATTAGTCATTAGAATAACAAGGTTAAAATGAACAGAGTTTCCCTCACACAGGGATGACTAAAAACGAATAATCCACAATTCTGAATACATTCTAATACAATTTTTCAAATATGTTATATGAAATATATTCTGTGAAGAATAGGAGGCAATGCATATTTCATTTTTTGGAATTTGAAGAAAATCCGGTTTCAGACATAAAATAAAGGCTTTATGGTCATACTGTGAAACTTCAATCGCACAAAAAGATAATTATTATAAAAATCAAGAATTTCAAATATCGAATATGATTATTTTTGAACAGATTCGAATTTCGAACATTCGATTCGCTTTGAACATCCCTAGACATACACGACAATAAACAGTCACCAGAATTGCTATAAAGGGGAATTAAAAATACAATTCTCTTGTATGTCATTTGAAAATATCTGGTGTCGTGTCAATACAATGACAAGGCATTTGTCTGAGTCAGATTGAAATTCTTCCAGACAAAATTACTGTATCAAAAATAGGAAATGGCTTGCAACATCTGCCAAAACGTGACAAGCGAAATTAAGGCTCTAGGTCAAATGTATTTCAAAACAAAATCAATCAAGTCAATACAATTAGTGTGGCCTCAAGGACTTTCATTGTGAAATAATACAAAGTTCTAAACAAGAAGTTATAGGTACAATTTTTAAAAGTTTAAAATGTTATATTATCCTACAATTATTGTATACATGTTTACCCAAAGGCTAATGGTCATATGACATTCAAAATGGAAAAATATTGTGATTTAATGTAGGCTGAGAGGTGCTACTAGATCCTACAGTCAAATTATTATTCAGAATGTATCTATTTTACTGTATAATAGATGGATCTATAGAGAATAAATAGGCAAATATATTGTGTAAAGGGGTGTACAAGCTAAGTTCATATAACAGATAAGTTATGATGTATAAGCTTATAACTTTTGAAGCAGTGAAAACTGAACAGAGCAATAATATATCAAGATAACCTCACTATAAGTACTCACCATTTTTCTATAGTTTGTCTGTTTGAAAGCATTTGAACTGAAATATTGACAAGACCAACATAATCTTTGTCCTTTTTCTTCTTTTTATCAGAATCTTTGTACAAATGAACTGTGATGTCTTCTATATCAGGAATTGAAGTAAAATCAAAATGTTCTCCCCAGAATGTTGTGCTGTTGAATAAAAAAATAAGATAAGCTTTGTTCGGAATACTTAAAAAGTGTCATAGTAACACATACCTCAATGGAAGTCAAAGAATTTAAAATAAACCATAATTTGGCCATGAAAAAATAATAGTTTCTATATTCAAATCCCCAAAACACAACATTCTTAAAATAAGGAAATGATTTTTTTTCATTGGTCTAATCAAATTGTACACTCAGCCATGGCAAGCAAAAAATATCAATGGATGATGAAGCAAACCCCAAGAGGTAGATATCATTTAACTTGATTGCAGGTCTCCTAAATCCTGGAAATCAACTAGCCCACAACTTCATCCATAATACAAACATTTTTCCACCCTCTGCCCTTGGAAGAAGCTGTTAATTTACAGAGATTAAAATCATTTCACCAACTATTTAGATTAAAAAATTGTTCATACTTGTCATCTTTTAACTTTGAAGTAGTCCTTGCGTAAAGTTGTCTGTCGAGACAAATTTCACAAAAATATTTTTTCTTGATGGGAATTCCTTTTGCTTCTTGCACCCACAAACTGAGCTGATGTTCTGTTCTTCTTATGTTATCCTAAAAATATTGTTTCTGGTTAAAATCGAATGTTTTATCAGGCGGAGCTTGAAATAATTAATGAAATTTCCCCACCCCCTATTTTGTCATTAAGTGTGACTAATAAATATCATATTCTTAAATAAGTGTCTCAAATCACACAAAATACTGTGGGATGAAATATCCATAATACTGCACGTACTCCTATTAAAATCATTGCAAAAGAGTTGCCAAAAAAACCTAAAAATAATTTAGTAACGCAAAGTATCTATGTGCAAAATGATTCATAATATGACACACCCAATATGATACAATGATGTCATCGTATGAGCAGAATAAACCTCGTAAATATGCAAATTGTTAAAATATTCGCAAAGCATATTAAAAGTTAAGAAACTACAAAAATAGACAGTGTCAATTGAGTATCATTACAATACTTGTAGAAGCCATATTCTAGCATATCATGTGTAGGAAATTTTATTCAACACCACCTGACTACGTAATCGACTGAATGATCAGTGAGTGGTTCATGGTACTTACCAGATGTGGGTTTAATGTTCTTTTAATTTTTTCGATCCATGCCTCACGTTCTCCAGCAGATTTGCAACAAAAACATCGACTTCCATTCACAGTGATCACCTGTGTTAAATAAACGATTTTAATTCTCTCGCCTTGAAAAATTTATTGTGAATTATAATGTTTGAAACCACATTTTCATTTTTCCTATATCATGAAAGTACATTCAAAATTATAGTTGACTATGTGACACATTCCTTTATCAGATACTATTTTCCATTGTGAATATTTTCAGTAGTTATCTAAGTTTGCCATGCATGTTTAATAATTAGGGCATGATATACCTACCCATCGGATAAACATAGAATTTAGAAATTTCAAGTAGGCCGTGTTGAACTATAAAAATTTTTTTTCTCTTTTTAAACTATAGTATAGTTTTCTACATAACAGTAGTGGTTTCTATTATAAAGGTATAGAACACCTCAAAAATGGCCTATTAAAGAATATGATAAGAAAGGTACCTACCTCAAAACAGTGTTCTTTTCCAAGTATGCTGTGATGTAGTGGTCTAACAATAGCATCTTCTTCCCCTGTTAAATCTAACATATCTGGTGTTTCAATAGTAGGTGCAAAGAAAGTTGTACCAATGTCAGATTCTGGTTGTTTTCCACCCTGACCTACAAGTGATCTGAACAAAGAGTACTTTCATTAAAATGATGCTCATTTATGCTAGTCTATGACAAAGAAGTTTTGGTTTGTGGGATATTTTCAAAATCATGGTCACAAAAATTAAACCAGATAATAATAGTGCTACAATGTTGCATTATGAAGTATAGCTTAGCAATTAAACTATACTTTACCAAATCAAAATAAAAGATCAAAAGTTTCTTCGAATACATGATTATTATTGATAAACTATGTTCAGGCAAATGTAATATAGTTAATGTTTTCAATTAAATCATAACAGTGGTAATAAACACAATTAAAGAAGCTATTGAGAATTGAGGTGAAATAACAATTAATTTTGTGATCTATTAACCACACAGTTATTTTATCATAAAAATTTAATTTGTCTCCCTGATTAAAAAAGGGAAATTAATTAGAAAATATCGTTTTAAAATGTACATTGCTATTTGCTAATAAATGAATTGTGTTACAATAGCGATTTATTTGCATTAATTCAATTCAGGTCAGATTATATCTCCACAATAATTATTTCTTGTAATGAATTGCCATTTTTAAAAAACTGAATATCATTACAACACAAAAAATCCCTCAGCATTAGATTTTAAAACAAAATCAAAAGTATTTGTTCCGAGGCAATTGTCAGAAAAACTAGTTAGTACGTGACAGGTATTATGTAAATCAGATTGGTGGATTCCAATTTTAATTTCCTTGTAGGTATGCATGTAATGTCATCAACGTGTCTTTTGGAAATCACGCCAACATTGGAATAATTACATCATTAGTAACTCATGTACAACATAATAAACAATTAAGGAAAAATTATATTTTTAAGTTATTCAAATTAAAATTTAACTAGTGTGACTAGTTTGATGATCGCCTGGGCATATTTGAAAAGGGGTGGATTCCAGGGGAATGGTTAGCCAAACTTAACTAACCAGGTGGCAAAAAGTGTGCATTAAGAAAGTCAGCTACGAATATTTTTATTTTTAACAAAACCATAAAATATACCAATAGCTTTATAAAACCCAAACCCAAGCAGCGAGGCCTGGGCAAATAGGCATTGCAAGTTACTAAACCTTTTGAAAACAGGTTATCCTAGACTCGTACTAATGAACATTACTCTTACTCAAAATATATCAAATAAAAACACTAATCATTTCTATAATGATACTTTCAACAATAATCACTTTGTCAATAACAATATTGATTCCACAACTGACCAACAAAGAGTAATATAAAACTAAAATTAGTATGCATGCATAAAAAAAACTAATGAGCGTTCAAATCTGCAAATTTGACAAAGATGAAATATACATTGTTGTTCAGATCTTGGCATTGAGCCTGATTTAAATTTTATTCAATGAAATACTCGTAATACAACAATCTTTCAGTGGGGTTAGTTCCTAAAGCCGGAGTTGATTTGTTTTTTTTAACTGTAACATTATTGCAACACTTAGAATTAGGTCCTCATCATATAAATAAACTCTGATGTTATTTTCATATTTATAATAAGTCTTGTTTGTTTTCATCATCCTAATATTTTATTATTCATGAAAAAAGAAAGTACAGAGCAGATGATTTAAGCCCAACAATCAATATTATTCAAATCTCTGCTGATGTTTGTTTCCAATCTCACGTAAAGGGCCTGTACAATGGGAGATAGCTGATTATAAATAAATAATCGACCTCCCAAAGACAGATGCTAATGTCACTGACCTTCACTGCCTGAAAACCTACATTTCCAATTTTTATTGAGTTATTTAATTCAGCTGTTCACTACTATCAAATCTGGCATCAGTATATCTACAAAATCTTAAAATTCAAATAGGTTTCCTCGTAATCACTCAGTTTTTGATACTTCCACTGAGCTCACTACCAGTAAAATACTTCAGTTTTACTTAGGCACATGATTTTGAGTTTTCAAAAGTAATTATTAGAATGCTACTTCCTGAAACTGTATCGCTGACTCACTACTACAATCAAACCTGAGAAATCTAGTGTAGTAATCACAATAATACTTGTGAAATCTATCACAATCAAGTCTTTGCCAAAGATAAAATGTTTTTCATAGATTGCCCATACTTTACCCACTACAGTAGTGATTACTAGCAATATAGCTTGCCAACAGCATAATTCTATGAGAGTCCATAACAAAGGTAGCTACAATCATCAATTCGATTCAATTGAAACTATAGAAACAATAATTTCCAAAACTGGCAACTTTTGTTTATATATGGTTTATGAACTTAGTTACTGAGTAAAAGGGTTGCCCGTACTCTTACCCATAGGCCATAAATACACATATCTAATAAATCAAATTGAGCTAAATCAATTGAATAAATCAAGGAATCTTTCAAGCGAGTTATAGTGAATAAAAATATGAAAATTGATGAAAACAATTACACCCAACTTAAATAATCATCATGGACAAAAAAAAATTCAAATGAAAATAACCAAAATACATTTAGTTAATACAGCACTTAATCAGTGTTTTGCAAAACTAAAAATTCATTGGTGTAAAAATCCACCTCAAAACTGACATATTGAGCATACTCAAGTTCTTACCTAAAACAGGGAAACACAGCGCAGCATAACATGGAACCATTGTCCCAAGAAGACGCAGATCGTAATTGCAGCATAATAATATGCAGACAGTGATATATTACATAAAGTCAAACTAATATATCATAAAATACATCAAATTCATTTTTAAATATTAAATGTGTCTTCTAAGTATGAATCAAATTTGAACCATATCCATTTGAATTGATTTACAGAGTTGATTTGCAACTGTTTTGAAAATGATGAATGTATCTTGACACATAACATACAAATGGAATATCAATATTGTATAGTGATTGTAAAGTCATTTTCAAGTTGATATATAGAGATATAATCATTATCAACAGATTTCCTCTGAAGGATATTTTTCAATCATCTTTGATTCAAATTTTGTATAACTAAACTATATGTTGACACATCACCATACAAATTTAAACGCTTCCCAGACTATGAGGCTGGGAATATTGAATACCAGCAGCATGATAGACGATCTTCATTCTAATGATACTGACATGACCAATAGCCTACTGCTTACGATGCAACAATGCAAAACCATGGAAAAAACTGTAAAAAACAGTATTTTAAACTAAATCAATATGAATTAGAACCCTGATTCGATCTCACTAAGTAACTAACTAATATGTCATATTAAATCCACTTATACCTTTCAATAAAGTTATTTAACATCCTGTCGTACACTCTGTACCTATTATTACATAGCAGTACCCATATCAGATCACGAACCTGCGAAATATTGAAAATCACCATATTATCCAGTTAAGCTGTCTCGCGACCTGTAACATTTTACTCGACTAACTGTGATCTATAGATAAATTCTTTTCATCATGTTCAATCTAAACATGATCTTGCATCGAATCATACAACATTAAACAGAGGAAAACAAGAGTGAGTCAACGCTTTCCTGTGACAGTTCAGTGCTTTGAATACATAGTCACAAATATTTCTTTACTTCTTATAACCATGTATGATCAATGATATGCCTCATCAGAGGCCCATACATGACCCCAGATAATGGATAATCATATTATTTACTGAATATTACTAATATGGTTGGCCAAATATTGGCTGTGATTTACAAGCATGTAATAATATTTGTGTCTATTTTCTTACGAAAGTTCCAATGATATTTAAAGGTACCCACCATCTTGCTACTTAGAGGACTATAATCTTACTGATTAACATGTTTCTATCTTTTTTCATTCTTTCAACTCTTCGCTTTCTATACTCCATAGCGTCAACTAACTATATCAAGGGTTGTGAAAATAACTTCTGTTTAAATGCTAATGCTATTGTAAAATATTGTTTGATTTAGAATGCATATATATGTGCTTCATCAATGATATTGTCATTCTGGAATTCATCTAAGCTCAATTAGACTGAACACTAATGAACATGGTACTACGAAACTACCAATTTTCAATTACTGAAATTTCAGGTACCAAGTCCATGTCATCTCCACTAACTCAAATTATTCAGTCTTGCTATCAGATAGTTGTGTCTATCATTTTCAATGTGTGACATTGCACAGCCACACACCATCATTTCCTATTCACTAGATTAATACACCTATGCATGAAGTTTTTGATTTTCAATGAAATTCATAGGCAGGTAGGTATGGAGTAACACAATGGAATGACGAACTACATTAACACTGTTGTAAATAAGAAAAGAACTTACTATGAAATAGTTGTTAATTTTAGTTGGGCATCAGATTGTGATTAACTGATTACATGAGGTGTTTTGAATTATATGTTGATGAAGGTAAATTTACGATTTTTTCACTGGAAAGTAATATTTTACTATTATACTTTAAAACAATAATAAGGAAGTTATGAATTGTTAGGTATAGGTACAAGAATACGCAAGCAATCACATGCATAAAAAAGACCTGACGTAAATTGAACATGACTGACGTAAGTTTACTAATGATAACAGTATTACAACAAAACATGGGATTTTATTTATGTAAGTCACATGAATGACAGGTATGGAAGACTCAATTAACATAAGTATGATGTAAAGAATACATCATAAAAGTAAAAACTATGAGTTATGGAAATGTCCCAGAAACAAATGAACTCTAATTTACATATTTATAATACCGTAAATAAGATAAGGCACTCATAATATAAAATTATCTTAGAAAAAGATAGGCATTACAACGTTGATGTTGTAAAGCTACCAGCAAAGGCAACTAAATGTCCCTTTAAAATTTAACAGAACTTTGACGTCAATCTATAGTAAATATGTAATTCTTTTAAAATACCTTTCCTAAATTCATTTCTAACAGTCGAATTTTATAACAATGATAATACACAGAAAATAAGGCATGGGGATATTCAAAATAAAAAACGAAATTTGTCACAAACGTAATATGATGTTACAATATAATTTTAATTACTGTAAAATCCATACATACCCATTGATATTTTTTACACAGTGAATTCAAACAAATATCCTCATATCCACACAGCAAAATTAAACCAATATTTTACTACACCACTTAATTTTTCACTGATATTAATCTAACTGGCTAAAACTTCGTTTTGAAAGTATTCAATTAAAGCTTCACGACAGTGGTAATTTAATCTAAATGAACATTACATGAATGACGACTAAATGGAAAATATTGATCAATCAACAAAATCTGTGACTTCATCCAACAAATTATAGATCGCTGGAAATTTAGTTTACAGTCCGACACGACGCGGTTTCGAAATACATGCCCGAGTCAAAATGGCCTTATATAACCCTGTATGGAAATTATTCATTCCTTTTCAATTGTACAACCATAGTTGGAAGATATACATGCCATAACAAAATGAAAAAGTGATACATCTCTAGGAGTTGGCCGGAAATACATCGTGAATAAATCATGCCTAAAACAGTCCTTTTCGAAGTTATGCCTGGGTTTTATTAACGTCGATAATCGCAAAAAAAAGAATCTCAAGCTATTTTCCTGAGAATGAATTTTAAATCGGGATTAACCATACTTAGACAAAGATATTCACAGATTTTTGCATGCCTCATGATTGATAATTTAACTTATTAAGCAAGGGAACAAGGTATATATATATATATGTATCACTGTTTTGACAGAAGCCACCTACACGCGCTATGAAAGGCGAGTCAAGACTTTGTTTTTCCTCGGTGGTGACGGCATAACAGAGTCCAGTAGGGATAATATATATATAGTATAAAACTTGTCAAACTTCATTGTACAGGATGTTAATTTTTTATTTTTTTTTTGTAAAAACACAAACGTTTCTAGACTTACGTCATGTCCAGATAGGGTCTGTTCTCTTTTCCCGGCATCATCACGGGTTTATTGCCTCTTGGTCTTCGAATAGCAGGCGTGATCTTCTTTTGCAGAAAACTCTAAAAAAAGAAAAAAAATCAATCAATCATTCAGAGAAAGATCGTGTTTGAAATCAATCCGAGCGGTCGTAGTAGACTGTTCGGATATTTAAAAGAAGAAAATGTAGATTGAATATTAATAGCACATTACACGCGCGCCGGGTTTTGCCCGATATTTCTTCAAAATTTAAATACCGAAAGTGCAAGTTTTAACCAAGTCAATTCAAGCAAAAAGTGGCGCGTCGAGTTCACAGAAACGCGTCTTGACATCAGAACTGACATTTACCCAAAACGACCAGACAAAATTTTGAATTAAATACAGTGCCATAAAAAAAAGAATATTGGCCGACTGAATATTGTAATTGAGTCGTGTTCTGTATTCAATTAAAGCGTTAAAAAGAACACGTGACAACCGGTCGCCGAGCAATTCCGAGGCTCGATCACGAAGGGTAATCAAGAGAAATGCTCGCGCAATGACCGCTGTACCCTTTCAGGGGATAGATTTGGGGGAGAGAGTAATAGAAACTGGTCCTGTTGAATTTACTCTGATAAAATATTTTAAAAAACCGCTGGAATCAAACGAAAAGTTGCTTTCCCACAGGGTTTCGATAAAGAGAGTCGACACTTCACCCAAAGAATATATAATATATACTGGACTGATCGCTGCTGATATCACAAAGAGCAAGGATACGCCTATAATAATACCGCTGATGTTTTTTTAACAGTAATCATGGGATATACGAGGGGAGATTAAATTAAGGGGAGTTTGACCCACGCGTGACAGATACTATTTCCTGAGATAGATTCTTAAGTTCAAAACAACTTCAATCGGAGCAGACATACAGGGCGTTGATTATTAATCACACTAGTGAGGCCAATAGAACGAGCCTCCAAACAAAAAAAAATATTTCAGTAAAAGTAAAATGCATTACCAGGTAAACTCAATCAGAAGACAGGGAGAAACATAAAAACAATACGGCGATTGCTACGGTAGGCTCGTAGGAAAGGCGCATGAACATGTCGAAGTAAGAAATCAGCTGCATATATGGGATAATGTATCTAATGCTAAACATAATAAATATGCGCACTATGTAAGACGAAAGACAGAAGACGCTGGCAGATCTTATAGCGTTGAAAACATCCTGGAGTATCCTTGTATACTATATACACATTATATCTAGCACTCATTGCACTCTGCGTGCAACATAATTAATTCTACACAAATCGCCGAGTTCGTTTACTAAACCTTATCAGTTCTGCAGCGCATTTGCACAAAGACAAACTCAATAAAAGACAACGTTGTAGCCATAATGGCATTGCAATAAATTGACAAGGTTATAAAGCTATCAACTGCTACGTCAAGTCCCTTTTTGTTATAAATCACGAATTAATTATAAAGCAAAGAAAGCGAAAATGACGGCGCGATCGTAAATAAATAGGATAATTATAAACTTACAGTCAAATCCTATCTTTGATAGCATATTTAAAAGGTGCTCTGCCACAGATCAACTGACTGATGAGACGATATAAAACACTATTTTTTGCGCCATGCAAACCATTCTAATACCTAAGACAACTAAGATTTCAGCAATGAACATCAAAAAATTTTCTTTGAATAATTTTTGAGGACAATTATACTTTTTCGCGCTGTCAGGCATTTGCATTGAGAAAAATTTGAAACTCGAAAACTATACGTTTTTTCAATAATAGTTGAAATACAACGAAGCAGGCTCTCAACCTAAAAAGTAATACGTTCTACTTAATTTTTCTTCCAGCCCACGGCAGCTTCACCACAACACATATCTTTTGATCGGTAATTGACACTCAAGCGCATACTTAATGCATACAATTCGTCATAATGCAGTCACATCCTCCCATAAAATCACCGTTATAATGCAATCCAAGCGTAGATTAATAAAAATCAAGCTGTCATACGCAAAATATCGTGCGTTAAAGACAAAGTAACAACAAGTAAACCTATTTCACCTGCTCAAGCGAATGCTGCACCATTTCGATTGTTGTCGTCTTCAAAAAACAGTAGAGAAACAACAAATATATAAGAGCACAAACGAGACGAGGTTTCCTAGTTGCTTGTGCGTCGAACTCAAAAACTAAACGATGCGAGAACGATTGGAAACTTTCAATTCTAACGACCTATTTTCAGGTATTTTATTTAAAAAAAGAATTCCATTTTTTCCTCACATTACGGTCTATCACGACGCGTCAAACGGTGGTATTCCATTTCATTCTTGGACTAACATTGCCTAGTAGTCGCACGCCGGTTCACCAGAATCAAGGGCGGTTAAGATATTGATTTCAGTGTGCCCATAGTGAAAATAGTGATCATATTTGGGGAACACTGATGCTATGAAACTTCCTATTATTATCCGAATGTCAATTACGCCCTGCAATGCCAAAGTGACGCAGAGTATTACAGGAAAAATCAATCGAAAATAAATAATTGCTTGATTCAATGAAAACAAAGGTTGAATTTCGAAATTCCGATTAAATACTTATAAATAACGTTTTTCGTACGATCGAGTTCGTTTTTTACAAAATGACAATCGTTACGAAACATCCAGCGATCGGCTCCGAATTCAAAGAAATAAACCAACCATCACACACAAAAGAGGGTTAATTACTGAATTTTATTGGCAGTATCAACAAAGAACTAAAAATAAAACACACGTATACCTGCAATGCATATTTTGTTTCGATACTGAGATTCTACCCGGTAAAGTTAACACCAAACCATAGCGCACCTGTCAAATTACTTAATGTGGTGCTCGGTATAGTTCACAATAGGTTTAAAATGTTAAGTACTGCACTAAAACGCAGCTGTGAAGTTATTGGCTCATTGCCTTGGTAAGAATATTGAAAAAGGAGTAAAAATGTACCAAAAGCAACATTTTGGAGATTTTAAATTAGATTTTAAATTGATAGAATCGTATGGTATCCAAATGTAATCGTGGATACAAAATTTCATTCATTCTCTTTTTAGTGATTGATTGTGTGGCTGCAGAATCATAAAGTTTTCCGGGAGATAATCATAATTGAGATTGATTTTTTTATAAACAGTTGTATAATTATGCCATAATGAGGATAAATTCAGGCTTGTCCATTTTAGGAAAATTCAGTATGCTAATACCATACTTTACTTAATTTCAGACATTCAAGAAGCAGAATTACAAGTCCAAGGGGATTCAGAAATTAATTTCAATAAATGTTGTAGCCCAAAGGTCAGAGCAACTAATCATCTCTCTTTGGTCACTGCTGACCACCCGTGGCACTTTTTACAAATCGACGCCATTGGTCGCGGTTCTCCGACATTTGTCCTGGTAGGACATAAAACTGCATCCAGCTCCGTCAACAGCAGGACGGAGGCATTTAAGGGCGGCAAACAACATCACAGTAGTTGAATTTGACGACTTGTTGACCGTAATGACCGTAAAACGGCGGCTGATCACAACCCTCTCGGAAGGTAGCGAAGGTATAGTTACATTTTCAGTAATTTGTGCAACTGATCTTAGCTACAATTTTACTGATTCTCGCTGTTGACAGAAATCTCTGCGGATAACTCTGCCTCTTAACACCCTACTTGGCCCAGAAGGTTGTTGACATTTCTCTTATAGTTACTTCCGTATTCCTGAAACCAGTCTAAAAAAGTACCATCACATCAAACAATGTATCTCACCTGTGTTTAAGTCCTAAATATTCTTGCATTTATGTCCTCTATAAAGGCTCTGAATTCGTATTCTACATTTGAATCAATTTCCTTACCAACCATTTTACACTATAGGCACGTTCCCAATAAGGGGTTGATAATTATCTCAAAATCTCAATAGACAATTTGTGCCCACTGGAATGCTTTTGGCACAAAGTCACATTCTATAGAAGAACAAGTTTGCTGCTTGAAAAACTTGAAAAGGCTAAACAACAAAATCGATTAGACCCTTAGACCAGGAAACGAACCATGGCTCAACTAATGGAAATAACTTTGGGGTCACGGTAATGCGTGACCTCTAGACTTGAACCATATCTATCATGGGTCGACGGTAAATCGGGAATTGGAGCATGCTTTCCTTGCTTGATTGAGTGTAACAAACCCGTATTGAGATAATCCATCTAACTCAATAACGACACGACACGGTCGATTGAAAAGCATAACAAGCGACGGAAAAGCAAGGCTCGAGCAGTACTTGAAATTTTATCAATTCCAAGTTACGTCCTAACTTATTGTAACGATAGTAGGTCCTTAAAGTTGAGGGCGAAATCATAAAGAATCATCACAGACTTTTCGTCTGCAAAAAGACCATAAAAGTTACACTTCATAACCCTCAGAAGTGGTGAAGCAAAACAATAAAATCATGGAAAGAGTCGGATGGTAAAAAATTAAAATTCCCACGATGAGAGAAAACAATTGACATTGCACGCTGCGGTTGCGTCCCGCAAAAAGAGCAATATAAACCTCGTTTGGGTAACACAAAAGTACAATGAAATAACCCAAAACAAAGAGGTGTAGCGTGGGTGGGGCCGATTGACTTCGAAGCGTCGACAAAAAGGCAAAAATGCCCAAGATACCTCGATCATGGTGCAGTCTTCACGTGAACACTGGAGGTCGCCAGAGTGCAAATCAGCCTTGCTATGATTTGTATGATTATTACAGATATTGGTTCGATCAATGTTGAAGGCGTACGGTAAGTAAATGACGGCAGCGGGCAATATAGGCGAATTTATACAAAACAAGTAGTATCTTATAACCACCCACCAGAAATAGACCCAGTCGTAATGGCGTATGTTTGATTACTGATTTACTTAGAAAGTCGAAGCGAGAAGTCAGTAACCATCCAACAATCGTTCGTTAGTTAATCACCCATAGTATTATAATAATTCTTGGTGGTCAACAAAGCATATATATGTACGACCAAGTCTTCAGATGCCTTACCTTCAAGGAATGGTTCCTTTTCACTTCAACGTACGGGTATCTGTTGGGATGTATGAATCCCGAGTCAGAATTCGCT